AAGTAATGTTAAAATAAACTAAAGTTCTTCATAATCAACCACTTTTATAACAACTATTACAACCAATTAATATAAATTTCAATCAATTTAAATTGTTAGCAGAAGTTAGATTATTAAATCAGTTAAATGGAAAAATATATTTAACAAATTAATTGCTTCATTACAAATAATAAAAATAATATATATATTTTATGCAATATAACTAATAATGATAATAATTATATAATCATAATACTTTACCTGTTAAGTAATTTTTTACAGTGCAAATTTATTTAAACTTTGTCCATTGTATTATAAATTATAAGCTATTAAATAATAATAATACAATATCGATATATAATTATTTATTATATAATGTTATTAGTGATTTGATTTAAGAATCATTATTAATATTAAAGGTAAAAGAACAATTATAGAAAGTATTATTTTTTAAAAAAGCCATAAGTGAGAAATTATTTTCTATAAATTTACTTTTGATTATCAAGGTTTGTTGTACAAAACTGTTATGTTCAACAAAATTATTATTTTAGTTATCTTGGTGAATTTTTTGTGATTTTACAGATTATAAAGATTGGTTAATTTTTATAAAAAAATGCATAAATTAAAATGGTAAAATATAAACCTTGATAAAAAGAAAGAACCAAAGTGAAATTTTTGAGTTGATTTAATAAATTATCTAAAAAAAAAATTATTAAAATTTGTAATTTGATTAAAATAATTAAATTATAGAATAATTTATATTTATCAATTTTATTATATTATGTTACATTAGAAATAGTTTATATTAAATTTTTTGAACTAATTTCTTATAAAACTTCGTGAAGTCATTCATATATTGCTAATCCTTTGATAGTTTTATGTCTTAATAAAGCCATAACTTTTGGAACTAAACCATTTTGACTTTAAAATTGTAATACCAGTTTTTTATCCTGAATGATTACAAATAAAACGATCTTTAATATTGATACCAGTAGTTTTGCATATCACTCATAAATGAATGAAGACGATTTTGTCTAATGTGTGATTTCTTGAATCAGTTTCCAGTCCTTTGTGCTATATTAAAAAATAATAAAATTAGATTTTAATAAAATTAAAAGAATAATAAAATATTTACCATATTCTAAAAATTTGGCTGCAAATAAAACTACAAATCAGCGTCAACTGGTCTTTTTTTGAAATAATCATTGTAATCCTGTATTATATTAGGATTATTACTTGAGATATATAGAATATCAGCTTGTGCTTCAGATCGATTTATATTTCTCTGATTTGCTTTTGATTCATATAAACAAATAGTAAAACCACTATCATTCTTTTTCTTAAAATTGATGCTAATAATTTATAATGCTCGTCTTCTCTAAGCAATCAAAATATTGCATTTCTGAAATAAACACGATATAATAACCCTTCTGGTGTAGATTTATCCAATTGAGGATGTTTAAAATTATAGCAACTTCACTTTCACTTAAGGGAGAAGCAGCTCTTCGTTCACCTAGTTTCTGCCTTGCAAGTTGTTTAAATTTCCATTAATTACTTGCCATAACTTATAGAATTTCTCTTGATTTAATATATTTACTTGATGGATTACAGAATGTTCAGGTAAATGTCATGCAATAGCATAGACAGATTGTGCTTTATAATCTTTTCCATTAACTGTTCGTATTGCTACAATAAATTTAATGATTTGTTCTTCAAGTTTCTTTTCGTTATCAATTTCTTCAATTTTTCCATTTAAATTTATATCTTTTCGAAACTTTTCTAATTGTATAATTCAGCTATTGGTAGACTTATCAATTGAAGAACAACGGCTAGAACTAACTGTTGCTTATATTCTTTAATACTGGATTAACTGTATTTAAAAGTTGGCTAATAAAAATAAAATTTAAATATTGCTAAAAATTGTTTGAAAATAAATAGCTTTAAAGATAATATATACCTTTACAAATGGTTTTTGTTTTGCTTTTGGCATAATAAAAAATGTATAAATGGTAAAAGGAAGGGGGAAGAGGGAAGAGAAAAAAAAAGCAAATAAAATTTTATCATGATCAGGACCGAATAATTATATCGTAACTTCACATGTAATCTCTGATAACCCATGAAGTTACTATCAATAATATAATTGTTTAGCTCATATATAATAATGTTTAACCAATATAATTAAAAATGAAGGATAGCATTATTCGATATATTAACATTTAATCAACATGATCCTAATGGCTGCAATATAATAATATATATATATATTTTAACTATGAAAGATATAATAATATATAATCCATTATGCAAAACATTTTACTCATATTTGCCCTATCTTATTAGTATAAAGTTATGATTTAGAATTAATAGTGAAAATTTGTGAATTATATTGATTTATTATGTAAATTTTTATAAAATTGTAAAAGGTGGAATTTACTGTTATGACAGCCTTTTCATTTCAATTCTACAAATAATTGGCGAAATCTCCCAACAAACTAAAAATAAAAAGCAGTATATAAGTTTTATTAGTTATTGGAAATTTTGAAACGAATTTTTTTTTTTTTTGTAAAAAATACCTTCGAGTTTCTATTAGGAAAGAGTGTATTATAATTCCGTTTGAAATAATGTAAATAGGGTATTCGAATCTCAGTTTAATTTGAATCTCCTATCAATAAACGCAGCCAAATCTTAATTATTATTTAAACTATACTAAAGTAAAACGTATACGATATTAATAATTACTACCAACACGACACAATATTAAAATTTGTCGAAAGTTGTATTTCAATTATCAGATTCTTTTTAACTCCAATAAATTTTTAAATATCCATAATTTTAAGAAAAGAATTTTGAAAAGAACGGTCCGAATTTATGAGTATTAAAGTTGTGGGTAAAAGTTGTGGGTAGGTTGAATTGGTAAATTTCATGTATTATGAAAAATTTAAATAAAAAAATATTGGACACTACGATAATTGAATACAGACAATATTTGCGTAAAAATAGACTTTTGCTTCATTAAATTTACGTCAATTCTTCATAATTTATAAAGTTAATTCGTCACTTCAGGATACGCACGTCATGATAAGTAAATATAAAATAACTTTCGGAGTTAAATCAATGTACGTGTGTATTATGATCGTATAAAAAATCAATGAATTCTGAACATCTGTCTGATAGAAGAAACAAAGAAAAATTTTTTCCTTTTTTAATAAACGCTGAACTTAATGGCTTTATTCTCCTCCTAGAAGGCCTCCTAATCATCAGACACCTCCAATTCGAAGGAGAATTAAACTAAGTTCTTTTAATAAGAAGAATCAGGAGCCTTTGTGGGAGTTGCTATTATGTTTACCTTTTCGTTCTCACAAATTGTAGGTTGTGGTCTATTTACGCGAGAATAATCAATTTTGTATATTGCTGAAATATAATGAATTTTGTTAGTCGAGATTAAACTTTTTCTTTTAGTTAATAATTTATTAATATAGCTTTTTTTTAATAAGATACTTTTAAGTATTTTTTTTTTTTTTAAATTAATAATATTTAAATAATTTTTTTTTGCCTTGCTTGCATAAAATAAAAGTTTTAAAATGCTTGTTATTTCGACTTGTTTTCAATATTTATAATTAACTAAAATATTTAATTCTAAGTTGAAGACAGGATGATTGATGACTGAAAAATCCTAATAAATAATTGATCAAAAATTTGGATTTTTCGGATAATTTGATGATACTCTAATAAATGTTCGAAATTATTAAGGACTTCGGAACGGATAATGAGAATTTTAATTTTGCAAATGTGATGTCAAGACTCTAAAACAAAATGGGTACTAACAATTATTAAGATGAAACATGATACGGGCTAGTAAACTTTTATATTAAAGGAGCACGCATAAACTAAGTTTTGCAATATTATCAAGGGTAAGGCACTGACAAAAATATGACAAAGTACATGAGTTTACGCTTCAAAGGAAAAATAGATTTGGCTTTTTCTCGATTATTCTTGTCAAGTGATCAACATCCTGAAAACTTTGAATTTGAAAGAAAAAAAAAATTATCCATTGGGTGTTCATTTATTTTTTTCTTTGGATCAACTTCACTAGATGATCCTCCAAAGCATGATGTTTGTTCGTGAAGCTATTGTCCATATATTAATTTATAGTAATTATATTAACAGTTACCAAATCAATAATCGCTAATATATCTGATAGACCTATTGTATCGATATCGATTCGTGGTAATGTCATTCATGATTAAGAAATAAATACTATCAGCGATTATATTTTTCAAAAGGAACAATTATTTTGTACTTCAATGCAATCATATTTTCTCTTTAAAAAAGCAGATTGCATGATGGAATCATATTAAAAAAATTTATTTACTTTTTCCACATCTATATTAATAAATTTTACGTGGATTTTATTTTATTATTTATTCACAAATACAAATATATTTAATGAAATTTGTCGGAAAGTTGTTGATGGCAAAACCTAATTTTCGATAGGTGTCAAAATCGAAACTAACTTTGACTTTTCCAATTTTTTTTTTAAAGGCAAGATCGTGAAAGTTACGATGGGCGGAAAAGGCCATCAAAACCTTTAATATTAAAGTGAGAGTTTCCATTACCCATCAAAATAGAATTCCCTTGGGTACACCTTTTTGAATTTTAATTTATATACATCTTAATTTATTTAATTAATTAAATATTTAGAAGTCCGAATCACTATCTATGTCTGAAACAATCTCAAGATAAATTTTGCAAATTTAGTTACTGTTCGAAATCCGTCGAAATCCATCGAATTTGTCAAAACTATTTTGAAAAATTCGTCTTTTGTGAATAGCATAGCACATATAGAGTATTTTGTATATATAGACAATAAATATTAGTGCGGCGTCAGAATTGTCGCGTGCTTAAGAAACTTTACACACTACTCTACTTAAATTAATCTAAGAGACAATTAATAATTTTTTATTACAAAAGCGCCTATTATATTTAAAAAGCATATATTTGCTAATTCTTATAATTAAAATTCATTCACCCTTTATGAACTTAAAAATCTCCATTTCTTCGATGGTGAAATTATTTGTATCTAAAATGCTACATTCATAATGTGCTTGATTGCACGTACCAGCATTGTTATTGATAACCAAATCGCTATTGCCAAAATTTAATGGAATATTTTCATGATCAACTTCATATATTGCATTATCACTATTAACAACTCGACTAATTTTAACATTATTTAAATCTTTTCCATCACCTAAAGAAAAAATAAAACTTTCGGTAGTACTAGACCAATAATATTTAACTATATGATATGGTAGTTGAGGATCACAGTAATGCCAACCGAGAGGATTATAACCACCAATTATCGTATTATTCTCTTTAGATTTAATGATCACAATACATGCTCCCTTTCTGACACACCTTCTACGTACAGTTTTGATATCATAGCCGTCTCTACTACCACGATGAATAAGTTTAAAGTTATATTTACTATCCTTTGGAATTCTTGTATTAGAATTATTTCTTTGAATCCAGTTAACAAGGATAGACGCGTGTTTTGGTTTAATAATTAACGAATTTACAGTAATATTTCCGTGACGAGAAGCTAATGCATATTGTTTAGGTATAGTATTAACCATAATAAATGAAACAATATCTTCGAAGAGTGCTTCAGGTAACACTTTCCTAAAAGGCCATATATTTTTATGAAAATCTTTTGTAGAAATATCACAGAATCGAATGTGTGCAATAAATTGATTCAAAGTACTTTTTAAAGCCATAAAATCCTTTTCACTCCAATTTCTTAAATTATTCATCGTCTTTCCTTCCAATTCTAAAGTTTGAGCTATCCCCCACTTTACAAGATAATTCCATAATTCAATTTCATCAATATGTAAATCTTCTCTTTTAACTAATCCAAGTAGAATACTTTTATCTAATGTTGGAAAAGTTGGTGAATCAAAAAAAGGAACTGGATCATCACAAATCGTTTCTAAACAATAATTTTGGAGTTGTTTACAGCTTCCTAGTTTGAAAACCGTGTGAAGGACCTTGACAAAATTTTGTTGCAACCATTTGGTTTGATCTTTAATCAAATACTCTTGTACAGAAGTAACCAATTCATCAAGAAGTAATTCATCGGATACTAAAATAAGATCAAGAATATCAGAGCCAGTTTTTTCATTCAAATCAAGTTTACCAGCATACAAATATCTAAGAAATAAATAATAATTCAAAGGTTTGACAAGTTTAGTAAACACTTTCGTAATTTCAATTGTTGGTAATTTCATTTGTTGCCGACTATCAGATTAGAAAAAATTTAAGAAACTGTTATTACCTTATAATCATTCCAAAAGTTATTGGAGAAATATTAGGTTTGTTAAAGTTAATCACATTATCTTTCTTTTTAATCAAATTCTGCGAGAGAGCTCTTTTAAAATAAGGTGATCGAGACTTCAAGATAACCGAATGTGCATGAAACTCTTTGATATTTGAATTTTTTCCAACTCTAATAATGACGTCATAATCTTCTGCATCGTCAAGCAATTGAGAAAAATTATGAGATAATCTAGGAAAATATTCGAAGGCCATTTAAGAATTTCAAAGAAAAGAAATGAAAGAAGATTATTAAAGCTCATATTTCACAGAATTTATAGTGGTTACGCCACATTAATTAATTAGTTTTCTCACGTGATTCTGTGAATATAATTACCAGAAAAGTAAAAATTTCACACCCACGTGATCGGTGACATAATTATTTTTAATATTTTTCAAGATCTACATGCAGAATTACTTGTATAGGGTTTATATTAAGTATCGGCACGTGATAATTTTTATATGATGTAAAATTCCCTACGCGATAAAAATTTCTCCTACTGTAGTTTGTGATTAATACTATTATCAAAAATGAGAAATCGACAACGATATTGATTTAACATGATATCGAATTGACATGAATATTAGGCCTGTTCATTTCTGATCGTTCGGATTTTTGATCGGGTTTTTTTGAGTTGATAATTATTGGCTGGCGAAATTGTGTAACTCGATCAGCAATCCGATCTTTCCGAACAACAAAAAAGGTGTAATTTTTTTGGTTGATTGGTTTTTATTGAAATTTTTTGCCCTGATTTTGATCACATATTTGGTTTGGTTAACGGATTTTGCGATCAAAAATCCGAACCAACAGAAATGAACAGGCCTATTGTAACAATATTAAATCAATGGAATTGTGTTTGAGTAATGCAATACTTATTTTGATGGTTAACAATGTTGGCTTGGTACCTGTAAGCTTAAACGATTAATTTTTAATTCAATCCGTCGAATTAAATCCAAGACAATATCACAATCACGCCTATACGAAGACACGACAAAAGGCAAAAGTAAATGATTTTAAAGATTCCTTTATTTAACTCTTGGTTTATCCTAAAACCCTATCTCGAGTTACTTTTCAACTCAAGGGAAAATACAAGGTATTTATACAAAATAAAATATAATATAACAAATATAATATAAAAGATAAAATAAATAAATAAGATAAATATAAATTCTCTATTTACTAAGATTTAATTAACAAATATAACGATCATAGTAATTATAAATAATCTATCTAATATATTAAATAGATCAACGATGACCACTTCAGCAACTTGGTCTAATCTGTCCATTTCATCAACTTTGTTAATCATTTTGATCACATGACTATTTAAGGCGCAATCACAGATCACGGCTTCAACAAATAAATATTTTCATATTAAAAGACATATTTGATAACAATGATAAAATTATTGGTATTTGAAGTATTTTATAATTTTTTTAATAATGACAATTGAACTAAATAAATTCTAAACTTTAATCTCGCAGCACTTTTGGCAATCGCAGCATAACTTTGATACAAGTTTTTTTCTCTTCAATAATTAATAAAACAATTTAAAAAGTAAATGTATTAATTAATGTTAGTTCAAATGTTCATTAACCAAAACTATTACTAAGTTTATAAAATGTAGTAAAATTTAAAATATCTAAGATGCACCACATGACAATTTAAAAAGTAAACCTTCTCAACTATTTTTATACTTTTTTTCACTTAATTATTTAGTCCGATTAATATTAAAAAAAAAATTATTACAATGTGTATTTGTTAGTCCTAAATTTTTAAAGAAAATCATTTTTATAAACTTTCACATATTTTTGTGTCTGCCCTTTGGGAGGAAAAAGAAAAATATATTTTTTTTTCAATTTTTTTTTATCCTTGAAAATAATACTTACGGAGTTTCTTGAATATATTAAAGAAATAATAAAAGATATTAATATAATTAAAATTTAATCAATAAGGTTATGGGTAAACCTTAATCACATTTTGACAATACTAAAACATTTTCGTAAATAATTTAACAGGTTATGATAGTTTTTGGTAGTTTCAATTTATTTTTTGCATTTCAAATATATTTATCTATATCGTAATATTTTTTAGTGTAGGTAGTTATATGGGACCTTTGCCATAGAAAGGAGGAAATTGCCGGAAAAATCAATATTACTTTATATGAAAATATGATTTTTAGGTCAAAATATGTTCGGATCTAGCATTAACTCATTTTTATTTTTTTTCAGCCATTTCCCTGTCTTCTAATGAAAAAAGAGCTAATTTAATCATAATTTCAGCGTTCTGGCCTTCAATAATAGATACTATATAAAAGAAACATCATAATTAAGATTTATGCTGCGCATTTTTACTTGGAGATTATTTTAGAAATTCGGAAATAAATGAAAATATTTATAAAATATTTACACAAACTTTTCTTCAAAATTAAAAGTTTTAATAAACTAAATTCAAGTAAGATGTAACCGAAAGGGAATTATATTTTGAAGGTAATTGAAAATCTCATAGGATTTATAGATTTTGCCATCATCCATTAGTTTCGATTTCGACGTCTGTCAAAACCTTAGGATTTCGACAGGCAACTTTATTAATTATACAACATCTTACCAAAAGATAGAAATAATAAAAATTTTGCGTCCTTTTCTATGCTCATGAATTTTTTATTTTAAAAATTTTCAAATTTTTTCTTTGGGAAAAATAAGATGATTTTATTTTGCAATGTGTATATTTTGATTAATTTTTTTTTTAATTTTGCTTTACTTTTTTACTTTATATTTTATTAATCAAATTTCTTTTTTTAATTTTTTTTTAATTTTTTTTTTTACGATTTTTTTCGAGTTAGAACGCTTCAGGTTGCATAATTAAGGTTTTTTTTTTTTAGTTTAGTTTTAATTATTTAGATCATCTTTTACTACTTTGTCCAAATCTAACAATATAAAGCAATTTTGTGATATCGGGTTCTAATTATTACCTAGTTGTCAAATGTAAAATCAATACTTTGAAATCAACGGAACGAATCGTATAAGAAATTGTGTTTATAATAATTTATAGACACCTCCCAAAATTTATTAATGTTTTCGGTTAGGTTTTCGACATTTTGAAACTTTAGGGAAGATAAAAAAAAAATGACAATAAATTTATACAAACTGAAAACAACAGATATAAATACATTTGAACCATATACAGTCGCACTGGATATAATGAACCCTCAGTTCTGTAGGGTTTGGTTCGGTATTGTGCTCACTCTATATACCGAACTGTTCGGTATATAGAGTCTACCAATGATCATATTAGTAATATCGGGATTAGCATTTATATTATTCTGTATATTAAATTATTGCAAGCCCCAATACAATATTGGTGTGTAAGTTCAATATTAGGAAGACATGGATTTTGTGCAGTTGAAAGAATAACCCTGATATCAGAGTTCTTTAGACAAAATTTCTGTGTTCCCGGTGAAAAAAAAAGATTATTCAAGTTACGATAATATAATTTTATATTTTAATAAGTCACGTGATCGTTCGGTATATCAAATACGTGGCTAATATATTTGGTTTGGCCAACATAAGTTCGGATGCGGTATATGGCATTTTACTATATAATTTCAGTATATCCTGTGCAATTAATTATAAAAAAAAAAATCGTTACTGTACCACTTGGTTCGATATAACGAGATTTTGGTATAAACAGGTTCGTTATAACCAGTGGCAACTGTACCCACCTTTTACAGATTAAGCAATTTCATTATCACGCTCCTCACACCAGTGATGGCAAATGACCAGGTCATTTGATAATTTTGAAATGACCTCTGAATGACCAGCGAATGACCTAGTCATTTGAGTCATTTGAGGTCATTTGGGTCACTTGCCATCACTGCCTCACACAGATTCCCTTCTGCAATCTATTCAGGATCTCGTAATCCCATCGATAGTCGCAAACCCTCAATTCTTTTTTGCTGTAGTTATTTTATAAGAACCATGTGATTAAAATTTCTGAAGCAAAATATTTACTGCGAATAGCTGTAATTCATTAAAACAATCAATTTTGATAATAAAGCATTCTCAAAAGAACAATCAAATATCACGTAGAATCAGAAAATAAGAAAAGAACTGGAAAGAGATTAAAATGCATAATCTTGAATAGTTTTATTTTAGTTTTTGTTAAAAAGAAGATATTTTGTGAATAAAAGGTTCGACCGTGTATATTAACCGACAAATTTAATACACCAACAGCCATTGACTACATGTTAACTTATTTCTTTTT